GGCTGACCATTGCCTTGATCCAAGAGCAATTCCCGGCAGGGACTTGCGTGCTCGGACTCGGCGTCCGACGACTGGAGCTCAGGCTCCGATTGCTCGTCGTCTTGCTCGGGAGCAGGCTCCGACTGCTCACCACCATCGACGGTGAGCCTGTTCAAGAGTTTGCGGAGGCCCGAGATGTCGGCACGGCTCTCGACCAGGCGACGGGTGGGCAATTGCTGCCGCGGCTCTGGGGCGGGCGAAGCTACAATCACAGTCAGGAAAAAACCTCTTGAACACAAAGCTGCCGGAAAGCGTACCTGATGGCTCAGCGAAGCTACTTTGCTGGAGCCCTGTGAGCACTGGGCTGGGCGCTACAAACATCAATGTTAGCAATCAATCACATGAAGAGGTAAGTAGTCGTACCTTTTTGAGCTTGAGCCTCGGCATGCTCTGCCCGCAACAGTTCTTGCCATTGCTGCCGCGTCATCTTAAGTTGGTCCGACGACGCGGCCGCGTCGGTGGCGGGATGTTGAGGCTGGAAAGGTGCCGCGGGAGTGGTAGATTGCCGGGGCGAAGGCGCCGGAGGAGTGAATATATGCTGCGGCTGGAAAGGCGCCGCGGTGGTGGTGGGTTGCTGGGGCGTAGCCGCCGGAGGAGTCAATATGTGCTGCGGCTGCGAAGGTGCCGGGAGGTACATGGGTTGCTGGGACTGGAAGGCCGGAGGAGCACCCTGGTACACCACCGTGTACGTTTGCTGCGCGGGCTGGGCGGGCTGCGCGAGCTGCTGGATTTGCTGGGCAAAGGTTGGGTAAGCACCTTGCTGCCAGGTTCCTAGAGAATTGTGTTAGTTGATTCAGTCATTGAAAACTCGGACATGGGCATGACTTACCGGTGGGAGGTTGAGGTTGCGTGGGCGCCGGCGTGCCATACGGCTGCGGCGCACCTGAAATTCGCGTCAGATCACAAAAACGGTGAGCGGAAACTTGAGAGAATTGACTTACCTTGGGTTTGCTGGGCGTAGGCAGGCTGCGCCTGGCCGTCGCCTTGCGTGATGTCTGTTTTGTTGTTAGTGACGCTCAATGGTGTTGACCCAAAGGGCACTCACAGAGTGGTTGGCCGAAGGGCGGCCAGTTGCCCTGGGGATGCGACATGATGGCTTGAGTGTCTGATGGGAGACGTCAGTAAGAAGTCGAATGCAAAATTTGAAGCCTTTGAAGCTCACCGCTGGGCGTAGGAAAAGTGTGTAGTGGAGATGGTTTGGTGTGTGCGGGCGACGCGGATTATCTTCACGACGCGGCCGCCGAGGCGCCTTCCCTCTGCGAACCACCACGCAAAGCACCCGCTGCAGTTGCCCGACAAGTTTGGCGTGTTCCCACTGCGTGCTTCAGTGTTCTTCGACCAACATGAACCATCCCGGTCAACCTCACTCAACACCTGAAAATGGTGCCCCCCTTCCATGACATAACCTCCCATTCTCCTCCATCACTGAATCTTGGCTACTTCTCTCTCCAATTCCACCAAGTATTTCTGCAAATCCTAGTCCACAGCTACGCCTACTCCCTGAATCCACCCTCAAGGGGATTCGCATGCGTCTGATTGCTCCTTGACGTTACCACGAGAATTAGACACTTCATCATCCAAGTCAATAGCTACCCATTCACAGATTTGGGTGCCACTGCTCACGATCCATTCTTGAGGCTTACACATACTTGCAGGCGCCTGTTCTGCACAGCCACACGCGTTGCCCAACTCTCTCCGATGCATCGACAACACCACGTTCTACTCATCCGAAACCGATCCATCGCATTCTCGAGACACCACAGAAGGGCTACCATGCACTTTCTAAACCAAAGGAGCAGCTCAATTGCAGGCGCAATCCGCGACGCGCTCTCCGCAACTTCAGCTCCAACCGCTGGACAAGATGCTGCCTGCGGGCCCGGAAAGCGAATTTATAGCGACATATAAATGAAGAGCGTTCAATTTGGAAGCTGGTATTAAGAAGTCGGTCCTTGAGATAACGTGCTGACGGTCATAGCGACGAGCAGGACGAAACCCCATGGTGAAAAGGCCCCTTAAGATGGCGAGAGGACCGCATTTTAAAGCGCTGTAACTACAAGCAAATCGCGGATCATGGACAAGGCAATCATTCGGTATGCCGGGAAACACCTCCATGTTTCCCGTTGGCGTTGAAATCGCGAGGCTTTGACGTGGTGGCAGCCATGGCACACAGCACTACGACTCCTCCCTGTGATTCCCCAAAAGAACTTGTTTACCTCACGTCCCATCCGCCCAAGTGGCTCAATCACTCCCAGAGTATACGCTTTCCGACATGGAAATATTTCAGGTTTGTATCGATCGATCTCGGGTGTGCCGCGGCTTTTAATAGCAAACCTCGGTGTGTGGTCCTCCCTGTCGACGATTGACTTTGCCTTCTAACCAAATATGGCAGTTTTAGGCCCTTGCACCCAAACTTCCGACGACACCGCATACCCGCTACCCTCAATTTTCCCGCTATTTCTACACGTCGTCTCTACAGCCAGTTTCGCGCACAACGAGGGCCCAACGTTGCGCTGCTCGTTCTCCATGCCGCCGCAATCACGGTCGCGCTTCGCCGATCGCCAGGATAGAAGAGCTTGATAATCTGCGCAGTGGAAGAGTGGCCAATATGGTCGCCTGGGATTCTTCTTGGGTATTTCTTGTCCAAATGAGGGAAAGTTTATGGCAAGAAATTGGTTTCAGTTGAGAGATTTTGATTCCGTTCTCCAAAGCGATTGACGGATCATTCAAGGGATCACACCGCTTGCTTGCTTGCTTGCTTACTTGGTGAAAGAGGAAGCTGCGCCTTCTGCTGCTGACCTGATCCTCTCATGCTCGTCCCACCCAAGGATAAATGTGCTTCCAAGTCCTTTGTGTGTCCTGCATGACCCCTGTAGCGTTTTCTGTCTCGGTAGAGCGTTGCAATTCTCCAGCCCTGCGCGGCGGACGGACGCACATGTCAGAAAAAGCCCAAAGACTCGTGTTACCCTTTTGCTCAATGACCTTGGCCAGTGGGCTCCTTGATTTCGGCCTGTCGTTCCCCCAAAGCTTATCTCCTTGCAACGAGCTACATATTGTTTGAATCCTATGTATGGACACGAATGCATTCTCGACGTCTTTGTAGGCGTTGGCATGCTGAGTAGAAGTGTGAGGATAGGATATTTCGTTTCATCTCTGGAAGGAAGCATGACTTGGACTGCAAATGGTGCATTTCCTGGATTCGAAAGTATTTCCGACATTTCACGTCAAGATTAGGCCATGCAAAGATTCAAGGCTCGTGAAAATGTTTCAATTCATTGCTACGCTAAACCCTTGTCCATTCTCTGCACAAAACCCACGATGGAGTTGGTTTTGTTGTTGTCGTTGTGTTGTTGTCGTTGTGTTGTTGTTGTGAGCGAGGAAGGGGGAAGTTGTTGTGAATGAAGCAGAGGGAGGTTGTTGTTGTTGTTGTTGTTGTTGTTGTTGTTCAGGAAGTCCGCCCCTCGACTCCACTCTTGTATGCTCTCAACTCCCTCACCTCGTCAAGGAGTTTTCTGGTCTCGATGCCTAAGCCATCGACGAACTCGCTTTCCTCATCGTACAGTTGTGCCAACTCGTTGTTTGATTGGTCGAGTTTGTTGTAATCTTCCTCGAGTTGTTCTTTTTCCTCGACCAGTTGGTCGATTCGTTGTTGTTGTTGTTGAGTTGTTTCGCGGAGTTGTGTATTCTCGCGTGACAGAGTTGTAGAGACGGTATCTGCCCATTCACTTACACTGGAGGCATGAGCTTCCGCCTTCAGGGCGCGTTGTTCTTGTTCTCGGCCCCAAGCCTCCGCCCGATGCCAATTGTCGTTTGCTGTTGCCAGCTGTTGTTGCAGACCCAACACTTGTTCTCGCAACCGCTTGTTTTGCTCCGAGATCGTCAAGGTGGTGGGCATCCCGTGAGCGAGAACAAGTTGTTGTTGTTGTTGTTGCTGCTGTTGTTGTTTTGGATGACTATGCTCTTGTAGGGAAGGCTGAGCATTGCCTTTGCGGTTGTGGAAAGGCAAGGATTTGTTGTTGCATGGCTGACCAATGTGGCCGTTTGTGCCGCAGTGTTGGCACTTTCGTCGACAAGGGATGTCGTTGTGGAATTTGGCACCGCAGCGCCAGCAAAGCTCCTTGACGCTACGCGAAGCCAGCAGTGAGTAAAGTGTGTCTTTGACTGGGCGAAACGTCTCAAGACTTACTTTCCGTCGTTGTTGTTGTTTCTCTTTTGACCAGGGTCACCTCCTGCGCCTGATGAGGCAGTTGTTGGTGAAGTCATGTTGTGTAGTGTTGAGGAAGGGTGGATGAGGGTTGTATTGATGAGATGATGCAGAGCTGAGCGAGCCGAAGAAGTTGACGAATTTCGTCAGGCGACGTCTCAAGGTTTTGGCTTGGTGGTTGCGCGAGAAAGAAGGAAGCCGCGTTGGTAGCCTCTGTCGCGGCAGCAGCAGCAGGCGCGAGGCTTCCGTGGAAGCCAAAGTCATCGCACCTCCCAACAGCACCACTCGCGGCATTCGCACCACACTTGGCCACAAGAGAAATGCCAACTCTCAAGGCAGAGCAGAGGTGTTTGAATGCTTCCCGTAGCTACCTTCCAATGAGCTCAGATGCTCAAGTCTCTCGGAAATGAGGCGCTTGAATGCTCCCTCTACACACGCATCAGCCTCGAGTAATTTGGTGTGCGGCGTGGTCGGTCATGGAGTCCTCAGGAGCTTTCAAATGCACACAGACCTCGAGGCAAGAATCAAGGGAGCAGTCGGAGTCGCAGCCGTCTGTGCCACGGTTTTGCTCCCAGGCCTTGGTGGCCGTCATCCTTCAAATCAACGTACAAACGAGTCTTGAGGCAACTACAGGGAGGCATCAGCAGCAGTAAAAGCACACGCCGTGGCAGTCAGGCATCAGAGCTTGTTCTTTTCAAAGGAAGGTGCGCGGAAAAAGGCATACGTATACTGAGAGGCTCACAACAGGTACAACATCAAATCTGTCGTGGTGCAGTGGTAGCATACTGAATCTCACAAGCAAGCCACCGCGCAACAAGTTGACACCGAGTTGACACCGCAAGGGGTGAGGTGACAGAGACCCAGAGTTCGAAACCTGGCGACAGAATATCTTTTTTTGCCTTTTGTGTCCCCTTTTTGTTCACGTCGTTGCTCATTCAATTTTCCGCGGACCGACGGGGTAAGAGGAAAGCGTGAGGGGGTAAGCGACAGACGTCAGCACTCCTACACCACCTTTCACATCGCCGTACGGTTGTGGAGGTAGCCGGCCAGTATCAGCTGCGACATGGCATCCAGCATGCCGAAGGTCTCAGCTCCTTGAAGTTTTCTACCCACGCTGTAGGTAATAGACACAGGACATCCGATGGCAGAAACTGACGAGTATCCATAAGCTAGCGCGGCTCTACACAAAATTTTTCTTCAACACACCTACCAATCATCATTCCTCGGCGAGCAGCAGACATGAAATCCAACACACGAGACTCGACCCGAAGAATCCTACCAATGGAAAGATTTTACATCGGGAAACCAAAGCCGGGCAGCCACGACCGCTGCATCTGAAGTGGTTGATACTGCAGGGGATTGATACCATACGGCATGGAAAGAGGCATGGACATCATTGGGAACGACGGGTCCAAGTTGCCGGGCCGCATCTTGTCCGCCTCTGGGTCGTCCGAGCTGTTTGACATCATGCGTTTCTGCATTTCCGCCATCATCTCCATTTGCCGCAGCAGGAGCTGGTTGTCGAGGCCACCCGGCCGTCTTTCTCCCTCCATGTCAGCTCGCAGCTGAGACGTAGCGTCAGAGTTGCTCGACAGCCTCTTGTCCGACTCTGCCGTCTCGAGCTGGCGCAGCGAAGACATGTTGTCAAAGCCAGCCGACCGCATCTTCTCCAACTCCGCCATTTGCATCTGCAGTTGCTGCTGCATCCAAAACGAAGGGTCGAAGCCGCCGGTCGCCGGGCGTGTCTTTTCCATTTCCATCATTTCGACCTGCCGCCGGAGTAGCTCTCTGTCACGAAGGAGGGTCAGATTCTGGGAGAAGAGCTTTTCGTTCCGATCACGCAGGTCGTATGCGGCCGATGAACGCTCTTCGTCTCGGTGGTAAGCCGCATGTCTGTCCGCACTCGACCTGTAAGGAGCTTCTCGGCTCCGATGGTGATGATCCAGCGAAGACATTCGGTCGCGTCCAAAGTCAACAGGAGTCAGACGGTTGGCTCGGTCCCGACCGTCACGAGCAGCACCGCTTATTCTTTTGTCCGCAAACAAGTCTCCGCGTTCGTACACAGAGTCCCTCCTACTCGCAGTCGACCTGCTGCCATGGTCTTTTGTTTCACGGTGAGCGCCCTCTTTCGGTTTTGCACCAATCAGAGCAGGTTTGGCGGCTTGCTTGCTTCCCTTTCCGAGCGAGAAGCCTTTCCATGGCTCATCGGGTCCCGTGCCCTTTGCACCTTCATCGTGTCTCGTCTCGACGAGCGTGGGCTTGATCGCCTTCTTCTCTTGATCATCTTTCCCCTTGCTGCTATTGCTGTGGCTGTGGTGGTGATTTTGGCCATGGCTGCTGGTGCCGCTGCTGCTAGAGACTCTGCTCCTCCTCTGGTCAGGATTCTTCGGGCATCGGCTGCCAATGTGTGAGCTCGTCCCGCAGAGTCGACAAATTCGAGTGCACTGCTGGGCAATGGCAGTGTGGCGCTTCCCACCACAACGAGGACAATCGGTTCGCCATCTGGACAGCAACTATCAATGTCCGTCACTGGCTGTTCAGACAGGGTAAGTCGACTTACATATCCAGATTGGGCCAATTTTTAGGCCCACTGGGAATCACCGACTTGGGTGCTGGACCCTCGGTGTGAGTCTTGAGCGAGGCGGTCTGGCGGGCCTTCCATTTCTTCTGGACGTCGTGGTGGTTGTAGTCTGCGCCATCTTTCCCACCATTGTCCTTCAACCTCCGAGGGTCTCTGTCCTCGGGAGTCGAAGGCGTGCGTCGCATCGATTCTCCCCTCACGTAGTCGCCCCTCCTCCAGCTGTCTTCGTCGACTTCATCACGCGACGACGGCGTCGCCTTGCCGGATCGGGATCGAGACGAGCTCGACGGCCTGTACGAATCAATCTCCCTCGCGGTAACCATGTTGCAATCGAAAAGCACTGTCGAAAATATCAAAAGCTGGCACAGGAAAGATTTGGACGTCGTAGCATCTCAACAATTGCAAAGTTTGCGTCACCTCGGCTCCGTCGACGCGGTGTAACAGAGTTTGGAGGTGAGGGGGAGTCGGACGCGTCTCTAACGCTTGTTACCTTGCCAACGTCTGCGTCGCGTCCAAACTCTTTTGCCCCCTGCTGCAAAGAGCCAATGGCGTGCTGCGCGGCGGCATCTCCGAGACTGGCCGGAAGACGCCGGGTATCCTGGAAGAAGAATGCACTGAATCCTGAGCGCTGCACTAACGAGTTTCTGCAAATATTCATTAGGACCTGCGTACAAATGGCGTACTACAGCCGTCAGCAATAAAGTAAACACCGCGGCCGTGACGTGTCATGTGGCGACCCCCTGCCAAGACCGAATGCACGAAACCAACCCCTGATTGCTTTTCTGTCGACCCGCCCGTCGTTACATTCGTCGAGGCGTACATTCAAAGGACAAAATCGCTCAAAGGAGATGCGAAATGTGTAAGCTATATTAGAAGACAACAGGCGAAAATGACGAGTGGAATGTTGAGATAGCCATGAGAAGGCAGAAAGCAAGCGTCGTAAATCGTGTCGTCGTATCGTCGTTGCGGCATCCAGCGCTGCGGTCGCGAAACTTTGAAAAGATCTCCGTCGTGTCAAACCTACCTCTCTCAACGCGTCACACCTGTGCCACCGTCCGCTACCCCTCCCGCTCCCCATACGGAACCCCACCCCAAGCTCTCCCTCCCACTTCTTTCTCTCGTACTGCTCTGGCGCTCGACGGGCCTCACGCGAATGCTGCCTCTCAAGCGATCTCTCCGCCTCTCGGCGCGCGCTTCAGCAAGCTTCTCCCGCAGCCCCGCAAGCCCGACAACCTCGACGCTCCAGCGCGTGCCAGGAAGGGAGAGACTGCGTCTGCGGCGCGTACTAGACGGTGCCGTAGTCTCATTGGCTGTATCCGCCCCTGCAGCATCAGACGTCGACACCCCTGCAGCTACGGTCGGGCGACCCCTCTCCTCGTAGATGTAGTTTGTAAACTTGTTCTTGCGGTCGTGGTACGCGTGCCACTTTTGCCGCGCCTGCTCGCGCGCTCGGCGAAAGTCTTCGTACTGCTGCTCAATGTCGACTTCGTCTGATGTCGCGGGGCCGGCATTGGCGGTCGAGGTGGATGCGGTGCTGAAGCGCGATACGCCGCCAGCGCTGCCGGACAGCGCAAGGTCCATGGATGACTCGGTGCGCAGGGTTGGCGTCGCTTTCGCATTGGGAGAGCTAGTGGTGATGGTTGTAATGACGCGGGGACCGTCGTCTGCGGCGTCGACGAGGGCAGCATCGTGGTCATTGTTGGGAGGCTGGGGCGGCGGGTTGGTGGTTGTGGTGATGTTGGTGATGGCCGTATTGTCGGGTTGGTGCACATTGTGGCGGAGCGTGCCTTGTGAGCGCTGCTTCATGATTCGGCCTTCAAAGCGCCCAATGCGGCGAGCCAGGACGCCCGCATGCTCGAGAGTGGTAGCTTTTGCGCGGCCAAGGCCAGTGCTAGTTTTGACCAACCCGCTACGTAGCCCAGCGCGTACGTCGGCCATCGGGACAGATGGAAGTTGAATGTGGTGGCGGCGAGCGTTGCTACCAGCACGTTCAACACCAAGACTGTTGCCAATCAAGAATCCTCCGCTCCCTTTGAAGCCGTTTGTGAGGCGGCGGCCGAGAGCTGCAATCCGTTGGCGTTGTGTTTCTTCTGCGCCAACATCGCTAGTGTCACCCCCCATTGGCAAGCGACCAACTGGCATCGCGTCGATATTATCAAACTCCTCGTCGGAATCGCTAGTAAAGTCGTCCCAAAAGCCGCGTGGACGCCAAAACGGGTGGAGAGTATTATTATGCCGCTCGAGGGCATCCTTGCTTGTGAGTGATTGTCGCCTTTGCGGGAAGGTAATGTTCATCCGCTTCGTAATGGTAGCAGTGCGCTCCAAAACGGGCTGGATCAAGCTGTCAGAATATCGCCTCGCCCTTTTGGACAACGATTGGCGGCGACTAGGCCGATCAGCATCCTTAGAGTCACTCTCATTGTCGTTGTGAGGCGTCGGTGGAATAATGTTGAATGCAGGCGGTAGCGGAGGTGTGCGGGGATTTTCCAAAGCCGTGTCGGCAGAGTCGTCATCAAATAAACCTGGAACCGGCAGCGGCTTATCGTTAAACATCAAGGCGGGTGGAGTCGGAGAATCGTCCTTGGGAATTGGGAGCGGTTTGTCGTTGAACATTAGCACAGGAGGAGCCAGAGAACTGCCGAAAATATTGGCTTGTGACATGGAAGGGCCCGCTGTTGTAAAAGTCTGGTTTCCACTGCTCGAGACAGAGCTGTCCCGAGCAATCTGTTGAACAACAACCAGACTGTTGTTGTTGTGTGGGTAAATTGCCATTGCCGTTGCTTCGTGAACTTCGAGACCGTCAGACACTCCCGATACTTGCGAGTGCTGCGAGTATGGCGTTTGCGAGGCATCTCGGTATCGGGAGGTGTAGAGGGTCGCTCTATCGAAGCTGGTGCGGCCCGTGTGAGTCAGCACTGGTGAGTTTCGATCGTGGTCAATACTTGGACGACGAACGTCTTCAGTGCGATCACTCGCACGTGATTTGATACTGTCAGTCGTCTTTGCTTGATTCGGGCTCAAAAGGTCCGTCGGACCAAGCTGAGGATGAGGCTTGGCCGCGTCTTGAGCATGCTCTTGCAAAAGCCGTCTGGCTTCTTTGCTCGCCAGAGGTGAAGGTACGAATCGTTTGATATCGGGGGATGGGGTGGACTGCAGAGACCTGTCCGAGGAATCGTCCAAAAGTCGTCGAAATCCCTCATAGGAGTTCTGCTTTGGGGAGTATTCCAAAGTCACTCTTTCTTTATTACGGTTTACAATCGCTGGGGCTGTGACGATTCGCCGACCGTGTACCGCTTCGGAACGTT